AAAAAAAAAAAAAAAAGAATGTGTGTCAATGAAGTGGTCGGCACAGCTAGAGAAACAATCTTCAGTGTGTGAGTCTAGAGTCCATGCAATTCCCAGGCCTGTCCACACATTTATTCCAACATAGGTCCCTGGAGTGATGCACCTGCTCAGTGAACTGTGTCTTCTGCTATTCCCCGCCACCAGGTGCTGCAACTCCGCTATTGCTAACAAAGGCCTCACCTCTTCAATTTTTTCTTGAGCACTCCCCAAGAAAACTAATATACATATAGTGCTCTCCAGTTTACAAAGCAGGATCACATACATTTCACCTATCTGTGCTATAAGAGAGGCTGATGTTGCCACTATTCCCACTATATAGACAAATAAAAGTGAGATACTAACATTCACAAGAATATGCAGCTCCATGTACCAGAAAACACAAGTTCTTGGATTCCAAATCCTGCTCTCTTTCTATTCTACCATGTCCTGTCCTAGTGGTTGCCAAAGGTAGAAAATAAAAATACACAGGTCCCAGTTAAATGTGAATTTCAGATAAACAACAACTAACTTTTTAAAGTATGTCCCCTGCAATATTTGGGACATATTTATTTTTTACTTTTTTTTCTTTTTAACAGGCACCAGGACCAATGATCACCAACGGCCCAGATACCAAAAAAATTATGCTTCTGAAATCTCTTGATGCCGATTCCACATGAAGAACAGTTGAGTTGCACTACATGTGCTACTCACAACAGAAGGCCCCTTTTGGGGGGACACATTTATTTTTTACACTAAAAAGTATTCATTGTTCCTCTGAAATTCAAATTTAACTGGGCATCCTGTAATTTTTTTTTTTTTTTTTTTTTTGAGACAGAGTCTCACTTTGTCACCCTCCATAGAATGCTGGGGCATCACAGCTCATAGCAACTTCCAGCTCTTGGGCTTAGGTGATTCTCTTGCCTCAGCCTCCCTAGTAGCTGGGACTACAGGCGCCTGCCACAACGCCTGGCTATATTTTTGTTGCAGTTTAGCCTGAGCCGAGTTTGAACCCACCACCCTCGATATATGGGGCTGGCGCCCTACTCACTGAGCCACACGTGCCGCCCTAGGCATCCTGTATTTTATCTGGCAACACTGCCCTCCTCCAAAAAAGAAAAAAAGAAACTTCTTAGGTGTTTGTTCCATCTAATTGGCAATTTGTATGTGCTCACGTATTATTCTGTACTATATTCTATGCTCACACTTAGAACTATTAAAACTCTGCAAAAGTTTATGTCCTAGGCAATGTTGACTCATAATTCAGCCCAAGTCTGAGGCTGATGAAAACAGCTGGCTCGTCGAATAAAAGCCTTGACTTCAAGTCTTGACTCTACCACTTATTTAGCTGTGTAACTTCGAGTAAGTCACTTAAAATCGCTGAGACTCATTCTCATGAGACTTAGAATTCTCAACTACAAAATGGAGGGATGTTTAGTTTAAGTATTGCCGCGAGGTTTAAGCAAAGTAAACACAACATCTGACACATAGAAAGCAATCTCTAAATGTACCTTTAAAGATAATACAGAGCAAGGTAATGGAGTTAGAGACGAGTGAATTGAAAACAGGAAGCAGTTTATAATCCTCTTCTTAATACTATCAATGATTTTGAGAAGACAGGAGGGCAAAGACTAGCACAATGAGTCCAAGAAGCAGGACTCTGGCTAAAGGCAGACCTGGGGCTATCCTAAAACACACGACGCTCAAACAGAGAAAAACAGCAAGGTTTGGACGGCCAGCGCTGTCCGGGGTTTGAGAGGTAACGGGGGTGACTCGGTCCTGTCCGCCTCTCCCGGCCCTGGAATGACTCAGGGAGTCTATCGGGCTCTTTCCCTCTAGGCCCAAGGCCACATATTGCCCATGAGCTCCCCTCCCCCCAGCCAAGGATCGCCTGGTCTCGGAGTTTCACGCACCCGGGACGCGGTCCCACCCCCACGGGCCCCCAGCTAGCCGCTCACCAGACCATAGTGCTTTCCAACACCATCTTGCCACTTTCCTCTGTAGACCAGGTCTCCCAGCCTGCCTAACAACAAACCCCCCAATTGGCCCAACGTTGTAACCAATCACAGATCTGGATGCGGCCGGCTGGTTCTGCCCCATCCTCCCCGTTGAATTCTGGGAATGGTAGGCGCAGCAGAAATAAACGGGATTTAGGTAAGGTGACCAGACGACCCGATTTTGGCGAGACAGTCCCGATTTTTAACAATTTGTCCTGTCCCGGGTGTTTTTTTTTTTTTTTTT